CCCCCCCCCCCCCCCCCCCCCCCCCCCCCCCCCCCCCCCCCCCCCCCCCCCCCCCCCCCCCCCCCCCCCCCCCCCCCCCCCCCCCCCCCCCCCCCCCCCCCCCCCCCCCCCCCCCCCCCCCCCCCCCCCCCCCCCCCCCCCCCCCCCCCCCCCCCCCCCCCCCCCCCCCCCCCCCCCCCCCCCCCCCCCCCCCCCCCCCCCCCCCCCCCCCCCCCCCCCCCCCCCCCCCCCCCCCCCCCCCCCCCCCCCCCCCCCCCCCCCCCCCCCCCCCCCCCCCCCCCCCCCCCCCCCCCCCCCCCCCCCCCCCCCCCCCCCCCCCCCCCCCCCCCCCCCCCCCCCCCCCCCCCCCCCCCCCCCCCCCCCCCCCCCCCCCCCCCCCCCCCCCCCCCCCCCCCCCCCCCCCCCCCCCCCCCCCCCCCCCCCCCCCCCCCCCCCCCCCCCCCCCCCCTCCCCCCCCCCCCCCCCCCCCCCCCCCCCCCCCCCCCCCCCCCCCCCCCCCCCCCCCCCCCCCCCCCCCCCCCCCCCCCCCCCCCCCCCCCCCCCCCCCCCCCCCCCCCCCCCCCCCCCCCCCCCCCCCCCCCCCCCCCCCCCCCCCCCCCCCCCCCCCCCCCCCCCCCCCCCCCCCCCCCCCCCCCCCCCCCCCCCCCCCCCCCCCCCCCCCCCCCCCCCCCCCCCCCCCCCCCCCCCCCCCCCCCCCCCCCCCCCCCCCCCCCCCCCCCCCCCCCCCCCCCCCCCCCCCCCCCCCCCCCCCCCCCCCCCCCCCCCCCCCCCCCCCCCCCCCCCCCCCCCCCCCCCCCCCCCCCCCCCCCCCCCCCCCCCCCCCCCCCCCCCCCCCCCCCCCCCCCCCCCCCCCCCCCCCCCCCCCCCCCCCCCCCCCCCCCCCCCCCCCCCCCCCCCCCCCCCCCCCCCCCCCCCCCCCCCCCCCCCCCCCCCCCCCCCCCCCCCCCCCCCCCCCCCCCCCCCCCCCCCCCCCCCCCCCCCCCCCCCCCCCCCCCCCCCCCCCCCCCCCCCCCCCCCCCCCCCCCCCCCCCCCCCCCCCCCCCCCCCCCCCCCCCCCCCCCCCCCCCCCCCCCCCCCCCCCCCCCCCCCCCCCCCCCCCCCCCCCCCCCCCCCCCCCCCCCCCCCCCCCCCCCCCCCCCCCCCCCCCCCCCCCCCCCCCCCCCCCCCCCCCCCCCCCCCCCCCCCCCCCCCCCCCCCCCCCCCCCCCCCCCCCCCCCCCCCCCCCCCCCCCCCCCCCCCCCCCCCCCCCCCCCCCCCCCCCCCCCCCCCCCCCCCCCCCCCCCCCCCCCCCCCCCCCCCCCCCCCCCCCCCCCCCCCCCCCCCCCCCCCCCCCCCCCCCCCCCCCCCCCCCCCCCCCCCCCCCCCCCCCCCCCCCCCCCCCCCCCCCCCCCCCCCCCCCCCCCCCCCCCCCCCCCCCCCCCCCCCCCCCCCCCCCCCCCCCCCCCCCCCCCCCCCCCCCCCCCCCCCCCCCCCCCCCCCCCCCCCCCCCCCCCCCCCCCCCCCCCCCCCCCCCCCCCCCCCCCCCCCCCCCCCCCCCCCCCCCCCCCCCCCCCCCCCCCCCCCCCCCCCCCCCCCCCCCCCCCCCCCCCCCCCCCCCCCCCCCCCCCCCCCCCCCCCCCCCCCCCCCCCCCCCCCCCCCCCCCCCCCCCCCCCCCCCCCCCCCCCCCCCCCCCCCCCCCCCCCCCCCCCCCCCCCCCCCCCCCCCCCCCCCCCCCCCCCCCCCCCCCCCCCCCCCCCCCCCCCCCCCCCCCCCCCCCCCCCCCCCCCCCCCCCCCCCCCCCCCCCCCCCCCCCCCCCCCCCCCCCCCCCCCCCCCCCCCCCCCCCCCCCCCCCCCCCCCCCCCCCCCCCCCCCCCCCCCCCCCCCCCCCCCCCCCCCCCCCCCCCCCCCCCCCCCCCCCCCCCCCCCCCCCCCCCCCCCCCCCCCCCCCCCCCCCCCCCCCCCCCCCCCCCCCCCCCCCCCCCCCCCCCCCCCCCCCCCCCCCCCCCCCCCCCCCCCCCCCCCCCCCCCCCCCCCCCCCCCCCCCCCCCCCCCCCCCCCCCCCCCCCCCCCCCCCCCCCCCCCCCCCCCCCCCCCCCCCCCCCCCCCCCCCCCCCCCCCCCCCCCCCCCCCCCCCCCCCCCCCCCCCCCCCCCCCACCCCCCCCCCCCCCCCCCCCCCCCCCCCCCCCCCCCCCCCCCCCCCCCCCCCCCCCCCCCCCCCCCCCCCCCCCCCCCCCCCCCCCCCCCCCCCCCCCCCCCCCCCCCCCCCCCCCCCCCCCCCCCCCCCCCCCCCCCTCCCCCCCCCCCCCCCCCCCCCCCCCCCCCCCCCCCCCCCCCCCCCCCCCCCCCCCCCCCCCCCCCCCCCCCCCCCCCCCCCCCCCCCCCCCCCCCCCCCCCCCCCCCCCCCCCCCCCCCCCCCCCCCCCCCCCCCCCCCCCCCCCCCCCCCCCCCCCCCCCCCCCCCCCCCCCCCCCCCCCCCCCCCCCCCCCCCCCCCCCCCCCCCCCCCCCCCCCCCCCCCCCCCCCCCCCCCCCCCCCCCCCCCCCCCCCCCCCCCCCCCCCCCCCCCCCCCCCCCCCCCCCCCCCCCCCCCCCCCCCCCCCCCCCCCCCCCCCCCCCCCCCCCCCCCCCCCCCCCCCCCCCCCCCCCCCCCCCCCCCCCCCCCCCCCCCCTCCCCCCCCCCCCCCCCCCCCCCCCCCCCCCCCCCCCCCCCCCACCCCCCCCCCCCCCCCCCCCCCCCCTCCCCCCCCCCCCCCCTCCATCCATCCACCCCTTCCTTCCAGCCATCACTTCCTTCCAGCCACCCCTTCCTTCTACTCCTCCTCTCTTCCTTCCACTCATCCCTCTCTTCCTTCCACTCAATCCCTCATTATGGAGCCTGGGCAATCCTTTAAGGCCAGTGACACACTGAAAGCAGAAGCCAAAATCATCTCCCCCAGAAGCTTCCTGGGAAGGGACCTGATTTCCTCCACTGTCACCTGCCACTGCCGAAATATTTTCAGACATGGAGCAACATAAGCCGGGAGCTTGCCATGTCGGACTCTCAGACCTTTTACTGGCCCGCCATCTTCCCAGCAATGCAGAAAAGGCTTAAACCAAGACTGAAAAATACCCACCCATCCCGGCCGGGTCTCTGCTAACATATTACCAAGATTGTACTTTAAAAAGCACAAAGAAAAGAAAACTATCGGGTTGACCATCCCTAGGCCACCCTCCCACCTGAATAGGTACGTTTTTTTTTTATATTGTGTTTGATCGGGTTGAGCCTATTTCCCCATAACAGTTGGATAAAACAGCTGTAGACCCTTGCATAGAGAGATACCGGCAAGATACAGACGAAGCTGACATATAAAAAGATTGGGTGGATCAGGTAAGTTTTGATCAAATCAACCCTTTCCCTCAAGGAGAGCTTCCAGCTCACTACTTTGGCATTGGCATCTACCAACCTGCTTTCCCAATTTCGATGACCATAGTCACCAGGACCAAATTTGATGCCTAACCCTTTAATTTCCTGCTGGGGCTCCGGGAAGGCATCCGGAAGTTCGAAGCTTTCACCCTCCTCACCCATCCAGAAAACTTCACTCTTTGTGGTTGACTTTAGAGCCAGAATCCTCCGTGTACTGCTCTATCACAGAGACCACCTTCTGTGCCTCCTCAGTCCCAGAGATAACAGAAACATCATCAGCATGGGCCATGACCTTCAAAGGCGGCGCACCAGCAATGCCCAGAGGCACCCTGCACAATGATGCACCCTCTAGCCTTCTTACAAAGGAGTCAATTGCAAAAGCATATAGCTCAAAGGACATCCCTGGCGCACACCAGAGCCAACCTCAAAAAGCTGTCCAACCCAACCATTAACAAGTGGGAATCCCTCAGCCCCTCTATGTAATGTCTTCAGCCAATCTATAAACTTCCCCTGCAGGCCGTATCTACCAAGTTGCAACTACAGATATCCATGATTCACTCGATCAAAAGCTTTTGCCTGATCCAATGCCAGCAAGTACTTTCTCCATCCAGCAGCCCTGGATCGTTCCAAAGCGGATAGCCAAAACTGCTGAAAAGGTACTTCTACCTTGGATCGAACAGTGCTGATGGCTGGACATAAAATCGCCTGCTACTGATGACAAGCACCAAAAAATCTTTGTCAAGATCTTTCTATCAACATTGAGAAGACCAATGGGGCACCAGTTCTCAATCATTGAGGGATCTTTACCTTTTGACAGAAGAAGCACAAGGGATTGCCTCATGGAGAAAGGGAGCCAACCCTCCTCTAGACAGCTGTTAAAAACTTCCGCTAAAAAGGGAGCCAGAATGGACTTAAAACACTTGTAAAATTCAGCTGTCAATCCATCTGTCCCAGGGAATTTTTTGGTAGCCAGCTTGTCTATAGCACGAACTACCTCATCCACTGAAATTGGTTCTGACAAATTCATCAAAAGCAATGCACCATTTCCCAATCCTGGAGTAGAATCCAGAAAGCTTTCCATCCTGTCCTGTCTAAGGTCCTTTCTTCTCAGGAGGTCTGCATAATACGACTCAAAGATCCCTGATCTGGACTTTATCAGGGAACCTGTACTGTCTTTCAGGCCAATGACCGTCTTAACTGCTATGCGTTGCTTACAGTTCTGGTAAGGATCAGGCGAGTGATATTTCCCATAATCCCTCTCCAGAACCTAGAAGGCATGCCGGTCGTATTGACACTTCCTAAGAAGAAGCTTCACCTCAGAAATCTCCCCTGGATCTTCTCCATACGAGACAAGACTATCAAGCTTCCTCCGCAAATGCTGGTAGGCAATATACATACCAAGCTGCTTCTTCTTACTTATGACCTTGAAAAGTCCAATCGCCCTTTGTGTCACAAGCTCCCACCACTCTAACTTACTGCTACAAAAGTCCAGAATAGAAACCTGTGCCTGAAAAAAAATCCTCAAAGGATTGTCTTACCTCTACATCTTCCAGGAGAGCCGAATTCAGTTTCTAGACACCCCTTCCCCTGGGTGGAGTGTCCGAGACATTGAGTCACAGACAGCATACAGTGGTCAGAATTCCACCACCCTCAACTCAGGAGCTGAGAAAGCAGAGTTCTCCTTTTTAAAAAACCTTTCTATTCTGCTCTGAGTATCCCTCTCTGAAATGTGAAAGCCAGGGCAGTGCTTAATGTGCACATGTACCAGGCCTGCCTGTCTAACCAAATCTCTGAAAAAAATGCTATCATAACCCAGGCTGTCTATGGAGCATGTAAGGGACCGCCCGGCGGTACCACTAGCACTCCACTGATCAGACATCCCCAGCGTACGGAGTCTAAGCCCCAGAGTACTTGTTCACCAGAGCCCCTGATGGTGGGGATGGACTTGGAGTACCTCGGGACCAGGTCGTGACTACTGAGGACACCCGTCAGTGGTAGGGGTATACGCCAGGGGCTCCCACGGGAGAGAGCCAGATATGAGGAGGTCTGGAGACCCCGTTGAGAGGGATGGATGGATGGATGGCTGAGCAAGTGCAAAGTCAGGCAGGCCAGGTCGGTAACTATGGGGACGGTGCAGTACAAAGCAGCAGGCAGAGAATAGTCGGGTCACACGCCAGGTCAGCAACAGCAGGTCAGATCCAATAGGGGGCATCCAGGAGAGAGGTCAGGCAAGCAAGGGTCAAGACAGGAGAAAGCAGCAAGGTCAGGGCACAATCCGGGTCAGCAACTTACTATTCACAGGTTCACAGGATACAAGGAGACCAGAAGGCACTGAATGACAGCTCAGGGCCATTTAAATACCCCCGCCCTGCGCTGTCATTGGTGCCAGGCGCGCGCCCGCAGTCTCTACTGCGCATGCGCAAACTCTATTGCCGCGGTCGGCCAGGTCCCAGTGCCCGCGCGTCCCTGCACAGGGCGGTGCACTGCGCCTGCGCCGAGGCGATCCCCGACATTGCCCCCCCCCCCACGGGCAACCTCCGGATGCCCACCCGATCTCTCCACCACGGGTGAGCGCGAAGAAACTCCCGGACTAGTCTAGGTGCGTGGACATTATGAGCTGGTTCCCAGGAATTGTCCTCTGGACCATAGCCCTTCCATTTAATTAGGAATTGGGTCTGGCCCCCCCCCCTCCTTCGCCACTTAAGGATTGTTTCCACCTCAAATTCCTCTTGTCCTTTGACAGTTATGGCCTCCGGAGGTCTGGATTCTCGTTCTGGGAAGGCATCTGGAATCACTGGTTTCAGCAAGGACACGTGGAAGACCGGATGAATTTTGAATGTGTCAGGAAGGATAAGCTCATATGCCACCTCGTTGACCATCCGCTTTACCCGAAAAGGCCCCACCTTAAATCAAGTTTCGTGAATATAACCGCAGCCTTTAGGCTCTGAAACAACTCTGGTACCAATGGCAACGGGTAACGATTTTTGATCGTGACCCTGTTCAGCTCCCGGTAGTCAATACATGGTCTCAGGGTTTTGTCCTTCTTTTCCACGAAGAAGATTCTCGCCCCTGCTGGAGAAGTGGAGGGACGGATGAATCCCTTCTGGAGACTGTCCTCAATATATTCTTTTAGGGCCCCCAATTCAAGCTCAGATAGGGGGAAAATTTGCCCAAAAGGAATCTCAGAGCCCGGTAACAGGTCGATGGGACAGTCATACGGGCGGTGGGGGGGGCAGAGTATCTGCTCCCCGTTTACTGAATACATCCAGGACCCATGATAGACTGCGGGAATAACCTGTTTTAAATCAGAGTCTCCTTCGGAGCATAGTAGAACCCGGGGCCCCGCGGGGCCCGAAGTGTGACAATGTTCCCGACAGTATGGGGAATGGAACGAGATTGACCCGGTTTCCCAGTCAATTTGGGGGTTATGGGCCTGTAACCATGTGAGCCCCAAAATGACTGGAAAAAGAGGTGACGCAAAAGCATCCAGGCGGAGGAATTCCTGGTGTTGGTTGGCAATGGTAGTGGCAATGGGGGGAGTTTCCTGATTAACTACCCCTGATTTTATCTGGGAACCATCAGCCAAAAATATGTTGAAGCCCTTCTGTCTGGGTTGGAGGGGAATACCCTGCTGGTGAGCAAAGTCTAAATCCAGGAAACAGCTGCATGCCCCCGAATCAACTATGACTGTCACCTCCACGGTCCATTCTGGAAGCTGAAAGGAGAGGGGCACCACTAAGTATTGAGAAGGACTGATATTGCTAATAGACAAAGAAGAGGGAAGTGGTGCACTTACTCATTTTCTGAGGGCAGGATCGCACCATATGACCAGCTTCACCGCAGTAGAGGCAGAGGTTCTGGGATCGTCTGCGCTGGCGTTCCTCTGGTGATAATTTAGGCCGCGCCAGGCCTAGCTGCATAGGTTCTGGAACATCTCCTGGTGGTAGATTCTGGATGCTTGGTCTAGTTGGTTGGCTGGGGCCTTGGAATGGACCCCAGGTATTTCCGCGACCCTGGCCGGACCTCTCAAACCTGCGTTCCCGCAGTCTTCGGTCTATTTTAATTGTCAGGGTAATGAGGTCTTCTAAAGATTCGGGAACCTCCACCCGGGCCAGCTCATCTTTCAAGGGATCGGACAGCCCCATACGGGACTGGTGCAGTAGAGCAAACCCGTTCCAGCGTGTGTCCCATCCACCGCCTTAAATCAGAGGCGTATTCCTCTGCCGCCCGCCGGCCCTGTCGGAGCGTATATAAGGTCGCTTCGGCAGAGGCTGCCCGCTGTGGGTCATCATACAAGATGGCCATCGCTTCAAAAAAACTACTGACCGATCCCAGATGAGGGTCATTGTTTCCCCTTAACCGATGGGCCCAATCCTGGGGTTCACCCTGCAATAGTGAAATGACGAATCCCACTTTCACAATCTCGGTCAGAAAGGTACGGGGTTGTAGCTCAAAGAACAGGAGACAGGAATGACCGGAAGCGTGTGAGGTCTCCGTGGAAATGCTCCGGTAAGGGTACTCGGGGTTCTGCCATAGGAAGCGGGGCGGAAGCCCCTGAGGCTGGCTCCTGAGCTACTACGGCCGGGGGGTGCAGAAACCGGGGCCTGTGGAGCAGGGTCAGATATAGAGCAAGTCTGGAAGCGATTCTCCAGCTGCATACATCTGTCCTGCAGGGCCGTTACGGCCTGCGTCAAATTAGCTAAGTGCCTGCAAATTTCCTCTAGCGGGGAGGGCCCTCCTCTAGGCTCAGTCATGGCCTTCTGGTACTGTAAGGGACCGCCTGGCGGTACCACTAGCACTCCACTGATCAGGCGTCCCCAGCGTACGGAGTCTAAGCCCCAGAGTACTTGTTCACCAGAGCCCCTGATGGTGGGGATGGACTTGGAGTACCCCGGGACCAGGTCGTGACTTCTGAGGACACCCGTCAGTGGTAGGGGTATTCGCCAGGGGCTCCCACGGGAGAGAGCCAGATATGAGGAGGAGGTCTGGAGACCCCGTTGAGAGGGATGGATGGCTGAGCAAGTGCAAAGTCAGGCAGGCCGGGTCGGTAACTATGGGGACGGTGCGGTACAAAGCAGCGGGCAGAGAATAGTCGGGTCACACGCCAGGTCAGCAACAGCAGGTCAGATCCAATAGGGGGCATCCAGGAGAGAGGTCAGGCAAGCAAGGGTCAAGACAGGAGAAAGCAGCAAGGTCAGGGCACAATCCGGGTCAGCAACATACTATTCACAGGTTCACAGGATACAAGGAGACCAGAAGGCACTGAATGACAGCTCAGGGCCATTTAAATATCCCGCCCTGCGCTGTCATTGGTGCCAGGCGCGCGCCCGCGGTCTCTACTGCGCATGCGCAAACTCTATTGCCGCGGTCGGCCAGGTCCCAGTGCCCGCGTCCCTGCACAGGGCGGTGCACTGCGCCTGCGCCGAGGCGATTCCCGACAGCATCTCCTGTCTTCAGGCCTAATTATGGTGTTAAAGTCACATCCAAAGACAACCTGCTGGGGCGTAAAATGGAAGGGCTTGATCTTTGTGAGGAGGCAATTCCTGCCCCATTTTGACTGCGATCCATAGATATTGATCAGGTGCAGGTCCTGCCCCCTAACAGAGACGTCTAAGAACATACATCTCCCCATTTCTACCTCAATCACCTGCCGGTAGGTTACCATATCGGTTTTAAAAAGGACCGCAACTCCGCTGCAAGGTTCAGTCGCAAGAGACCACAGGAGGGATGACATCTCCACTCCCTTTTTGCTAGATGCACATCGGCCAAAGTATTGAGCCAGGTCTCTTACAAAAATAAAATCTCAGCATCAAACTCGCTGAGCAAAAATAAGGCCATATCACAAACTCTTGCAGATTTAATGCTGGCGAAATTAATGGTTGCTACTTTTAATGGAGTGGGAACTGCCATCAGGATGATTGGGGTAGTCGTTTCTTAACCTCTACCACACTCTCATCACCCAAGACAGCTCTCTTCAGGCTTTGTGACTCCCCCTCATTCATAGATGACAAAGAAATGGATAAATCAGACTCCATCTCATCACCTGACAAAACTGAATAGGTGTTGCCAAGAGGGACCCCTCCTTGTCTGATTCTGAGGAAGAGCGTGTGGTGGAACCGTTCCGCCTGGGCTTCCTCGTGTGGAGCGATGCGCCTCAGCCAATGGTCCCCTTGTCCTGCAAGTCTTCCAGTGCTCTGCCAAGGCAGGTATTAGAGCTCAAAACCAATCCCTTCCCTGCTACCCCAAACCATGAGTTGGAACTTTGTGTAGGGTGAAAATTACTCAATCTTTATTAAACACAGCTCAGTATATACAACTTCACCGCCACCCCCACCAGACAGCCCGGCTCCGGGTTTTCCCCACCCACAACAAAACCCTACAACCCAAAAATACAGTATGAACTCTTTTAGAAGTGAGAGACTACAAGGTCACATTTCCCTAAACAAACAGTGTAGAATGTCTGTCTACATAACAGTGCTTTACAAAGGGGAGAAAACTGAAACAGGGCAAAATGTTATCACAAAGGGACGGTGACGCCCACCCCTCATCAGCTGAATCCCCCCCAGCGGGAAGTGGGACATGGACACCCCTCCCTGAGCCCCATCGGCTCCACCCCCATCCAGCACCCCCACACTTTCCTGACCACATTTGCGCTGTCGGGACAGGTACCGGAGGTGGAGTAGGCCGAGAGGGAAGATCCACTAAACCCACCCCCCCAGCAGCTTCCGCTACTCTGGAGGATCTACGTACAGTAGGATTAGGAACACGAGGGACAGACTGAGGGATGACATTGCTAGGGGAAATAGAATCTGACACAACAGATGGAACAGACACAGGAGGGGCAACAACAGTTTCCTCCCTAGCATCAGCTGCCTCATCTTCTTTATTGAGTCTCTGCAGCTCAGCCTCCAATCCTGGCAGGTTGTATAGTGCCTCTGGGCACTGACTATACGGATGACCCAGCTGCTGGCCCAAATTGCACCGAATCTTGGTGCATTCTTTGGCCAAATGGCCTAAATCCTTGCACAGTGAGCACTTTTTGATGGTACAGGATGATGCCAAGTGGACTTTCTCTCCACATTTGTTACAAACCTTAGGATGACCCTTATAGAAAATGGTCAGTCTATCCCCCCCCCAGAAAGGCTGAGCAGGGCAGGTGCTGAACCACATTGCCGAACACCCTCAATTGCAGTGACACTGTATGAGATTGGATATTGAATCCACTCTCTGCTGAGCAGGGGGAGAAATGTAATTTTACTCCTTTCAGCAACATTAACTCTTTCACCACCAACACATCCATTGCTTTACCAGTCTCAACAGTCATAGTACTTGCAGATACATACATAGATTTCACAGAAATGTCTGTAATCACTGCTGCAGTGATAGAAACTTCAGCTCCAGCTGTCAACTCCTCCTCCAGATCGGAACTTTCAGCCCAGTTTATGGGTTGTTTAGACATGTTGATGTAAGACATCCATGGCTGTTTGCTCTCCATATGGTGAAATGTGCTGCTCCCCCTCCCCCACCAGTATCAATTAGCTCTGGAACACATGCATATTCAGCTGCAGCAGACTCTTTGCAGGTGGCAGCCATCTTGCCTGTAGAGGGTCTCAGCAGGAACAGCAGCAGTAACATCCATTTCTGGGGTGTTTGGAGCAGGTCCATCCTCATTCCCCTGATGATCTGCAAACCTCTCTGCAAGGGGTTTTTCCCTCCATGTCTGCAGAGGGTTCCTCCACAGCAGAAACTTCCACAGCAGGTTGCTCCTTTGCAACAGCAGTTCTCACCAGAGCCAGTGGGGCAGACTTGTTGAAAGGCAAGCTTGGTGTACTGGGACTTCTCCACCATTACAGGCTTTGCTGGTCTGTCTGTCTTCTGTGCATCCTCTGGGACTGCTGAAGGGTCATCTGAGAATGCAAACCTGTCTTCCCTCGGGTGACTCCATCTGCTGGATGAAAGTCAGGGTTCCATGCTCACTCTCAACCCCCTGGCTGGTTGCCGCTGACAACTCCACAGTCTGATATGGGGGGAGAGATGCTGAGGTAGATGGAGCTGGGTCATCCATTACTTGAGGCTGCTGATATATAGAAATCGCTGATGTCTGGCTGGCAAATCTCTCATTTTCAAATTTTTCTGCAAATGCTCTACTTCTGGCTTTCAGAGTTTCCAACAATAAAGATTGTTCAAGTACTTTTTCTTCCATCTGCTGTAGCTCTGGCTTCATGGCTCATCTGTTCTTACTCCAGGCCTGAAGGATTTGTGCTCCGCTTTTAAAAGTTGAAATTTTTCTCCGTTCTCCAAATAGCCAAGAACCAATCAATAATCTGTCTGAAGACATCCACATCCTCACCAGGACCTGGATCCACAGTCAGGTCCTCCTCCTCCTCCTCATTAGGCCCGGTGTCATCAGGGGAATCCTTCCCAAGGCCTCCTCCTGGATCAGGCATGGTACCTGGGCCAAGCTAGCAGGCAAGGCCCAGACTGAAATAATCCTGTTTCTCAGGGATAGCTCCTTTGGTGTGTCCTTCCTTCCACCCCCTCCCTCCCTTCATTCCATCCATCCACCCACCCCCTCCCTCCCTTCATTCGTTCATTCCATCCATCCACCTATCCCTTCTTTCTTTCCACCCACCCCTCCCTTCCTTCCACCCCTTTACTCCTTCCTTCCACCCACCAACCCCTTCCACCTCTCCCTCCTTCCCTTCCTTCCACCCACCGTTCTTTCCTTCCATCCACCCCTTCCTTCCACCCACCCTTCTTTCCTTCCATCCACCCTTTCATTCCTTCCACCCCTTCCACCCCTTCCTTCCTTCCACCCCTTCCTTCCTTCCTTCCTTTCTTCCTTCCTTCCACCCCTTCCTTCCTTTCTTCCTTCCCACCCACCCACCCCCTCCCTTCCTTTCTTCCTTCCACCCACCCCCTCCCTTCCTTTCTGTTGACCTTTGATAGATGACAAACACATTGTAAATGGCCAAATGGAAAAAATAAATTGCAACTTTTTTATACCAGAAGACATTTTTGTTGAAAAAAAGGGCTGTAGCATCTGTTCATTTAAATCCACCCCCCCCCCCCCATGGACCGATTGTCATTGTGGATAGTGGACCGGACGTAAACATCTCTTATCCCTCGACTTCTTGGCCAACACTTTCTCGTTTCTCAGACTTGTGGATTCCCCTTTTTGTGGCCTTGTGGTTACTAAACTTTGTGGGAAGCCCTTTCTGGTTTTTCGAGTGGTACCGCAGGCTAAAGTTTTCTCACGGTACACGTGCCGGAAAAGGGGAAGACTGGTATAGTAGATATCAAGGTAGATATGTTAACCTTTTTTGAAAGTACACGCGGAAGGCATGCACATATGCTGTAGCTCTTTAACAGAGCTTCTTCAGCTTCAATCCATACCTGGCCCTTTTTCTGGGAATGTATTGCTTGAATCCAAGCCAGCCAGTGAAGTGGTCAAGGGATTCATCCACACAATGTGTTGCTCAGAGGCTTCAAGTTCCGCAAATCTCTTAGCAAAATAATTTAGTAGGGGGTGGATTTTGTACAATTTGTCATAGTTTGCATGATCTCGGTGAGGGCACTGTGAGTAATTATTGAAATGCAGGAATAGCATGATCAGATCATTACAGCATAATAAATGGGCATATGATGGATGGGGTTTGTGGACCAGTGGGCGTGCAATTTGTTTTGTTTTTTTTTTTTGTACTCCCCACGTTAAACGTAAGGCCCAAAAACAATTTTAACTCCTCCATTGTGAGACATCTCCATTGAAAAGGACAGGCATAGGATGTATTGCAATTGTTATCAATATATTGCTGAGCAAAAAGGTTTGTTTGGTCCACAATGTTTTAAAGTAAATAGACAGGGAAAAACAAATAAAAAATCAATTTCAGAAAAATTTTAATTATTGGTCTGCAGACTTGGCTGTGCGGTGAAAAGGGGGATTGAAGCTGATCTTGAGCTGGAAGGAAGCCATGGTGGGTTTGCCAGGGCATCAGGAAGATATGTTTGGGCCGTAATTCTTGGTCTGGTGGGATATTCCAGTGCTGGTACTGGGCCTTTCATCCTGGCGTCTAGCGCCATTGTTTGTTTTCTGCTGATTGACCATTGGGGGGGTATGGTGCTGCTTGTAGTTACCTGCTCCTCAGAGCACTATATCCTTTTAGGAGGGACTGCGTCTCCAATTCGGTTACTGACCCACTACTTTCTACTGGCTCGTATTCCGAAACGGAATCGGATGGTGAGAGCTCCCCGCTGCTCTCATCCGTCATGCTGAAGATTTTAAGAACCTCCTCACTAGTAAACAATTATTTGGACATTGCAGCTCTGGTGATTGTGGCTGTATGATGGGTAAATTGCTGATGGGTGGCTGTGATGGGTACACTGCTGATGGGAAACGGTTGTGTTGACTCTGTGACACGTACACTGATTAGGCTGCACTGATGGCTGTGGTGACAGGTACACCGATGGGCTGCACTAATGAATGCACTGACAAGTAGACTGATGGTTGCACTGATGTGCTGCACTGACAGCTACACTGACAAGTCTACTGATGGGCTGCACTGACAGACTCCACTGATGGGTCCACTAATGGCTCCACTGACAGATCCATTGATGGGTCCACTGAAAGATCCACTGACAGATACACTGATGGGTCCACTAACAGATCCACTGATGGGCTGATCTGACAAATCCACTGACATATCAGCTAATGGGCTGATCTGACAGATCCACTGATGACACTGACTGTGACTCTTTATTAGGGGCAGTGTGCACAGTAGTGAAAGTGTTAACTGTTAAAGTCACTGTTCCTGGGTTCTCCTCCTCACACAGGATTGGTGTGTGAGAAGGAGAAGACATGAAAGGTAAGTGACAGCTGTGTGTTTATATTTATGATCGGCTGTGTTAGGTCCAGCCGATCACATGGTAAAAAGCCAATTTAATTGGCTCTGTACCTTCAGCGGGGGACACAGCTTGTCAGTAATGGGAGCATGCATGAGCAGTGCGATACAAAGGACGTCATATGACACCCAGTCAGAGGGACAAGAGGACTACCCGGCCGTCAATCTGCTATAGGCCAGGTGGTGTTAGGGATCCAGGTATGACCAGAAATGTGTGTACTGACACAGGGAAGTAGCAGGCTTCAGGAACACAGGCGTAGTCAGGGCTGGAGAGGTGGAATGGTCAGGTGAGCCGTAAGGCAATGGCAGGCACCGCCCGGCGGGATCTCTAGCGACCCACAGAACAGGATTCCCCAGGGAGCGGAGTCTAAGCCCCAGTCTGCCTTTTCACCAGAGCCCCTGATGGTGGGGATGGACTTGGCGCAGGACTGAGACCAGGTCGCGGCCCCTGAGTGCACCCAACTGTGGTAGAGGGGGTCCGCCGAGGGTATGTACCGGGGGAAAGCCTGATGTGAAGGGGCTGGCAGGTTTGGACAGCAGTGACTGGATCCGTGCTGGATGGATGGATCGTCTGGGTAGCGTCAGGCGTAGTCAGGCAGGCCAGGTCAGCAATGTGCGGGCAGTGAGGTACCGGAGGAGCAGGCAAAGAATAGTCAGGGTCACAAGCCGGGTTCAGTAACTCACGGGCAACGTGGTACAGTGGATCAGGCAGAGAATGGTCAGGGTCACAAGCCGGGTTCAGTAATTCACGGGCAGCACGGTACAGAGGATCAGGCAGAAGGATGGTCAGGCTGTCAGGAACCGCCTGGCAGTGTCTCTAGCAGCCCACAGCACGGATTTCCTCAGGGCGCGGGGTCTAAGTCCCAGCCTGCTATTCACCAGGGCCCCTGATGGTGGGGATGGACTTCGTGCAGACTGGAACCAGGTCGCGACCCCCGAGTGCGTCCGGCTGTGGTAGAGAGCACCGGCAGGGGACTGCGGGAATGGAGTCTGATGGGAAGAGGCAGGCAGACTTACTAATAGTGATCCGTGCGGGATGGATGGATGGATCGTCTGGGTGACTGAAAGCGTAGTCAGGCGAGCCAGGTCAGCAACGTGCGGGCAGCGAGGTACCGTAGGAGCAGGCAGAGAATGGTCAAAGGTCACAAGCCGGGTTCAGTAACTAGCGGACAGCGCGGTACAAAGGGTCAGGCAGAAGAATGGTCAGGCAAGCCAAGGGTTAAGCAGGATACAATCAGGGTCAGGTACAATGCAGTGGTCGGCAACGAAGTAACACAGGATCAGGTAACAGGAACAGAGGACAAAGACCAAACGGCAATTTGACATACCTCTATCCCTGTTTAAATAGCCCGCATTGCGCTGTCATTGGTGCCAGGCGCGCGTCTGTGATCGTGAGTGCGCATGCGCGGCCATCGCGATTGCCCGGGTCCCGCTGCCCGCTGATTGGAATGCATCGGTGTCCTGCGCATGCGCGCCCGGCGTATCGCGGAAGGGACACCGATCCCTGACACAGGCAAGCCAGGGATCAAGCAGGAGAAGTCAGCAGAGGTCAGGATCAGGCAGGGTCGGCAACAAATCAGATAGTCAGCAGAACAGGAACACAGGATACCAGGTACAGGGGCTCATGGGAAACAATTCACCAAGGCCCTGATCACAGGCCTGGTCATTCCTTAAATACACCTCCTGCAATCAGCCCCAGGTGTTGGCTGACTGCAGGAGTGAGCTTCTGGCTGCTGCTGAGAGCACCCGCTGGTCAGTCCTGGTACTTCAGCCCACACGGCAGGTGAGTCCCACCACCAGTGGTGAATCCATTCCTGACAGGTGGGAACGTGTTAAGAGAGCTAATTTTCCAAGGCTGCTCTCCAAGACTTAGGCTGGCCATACATTATACAATTTTCTTGAGAATTTTGCTTTAGGTTTACCAAAAACCATATAATATGAGGTCAAATCTAAACAACGCTTTCAATTGTATCCAATTAGGCAGGCCCTTGCACTACATAGTTGAAGGTAAATCTAAAGGAAATTGGACAGAAAATTGTATAGTGTATGGCCAACCTTAGACTTGGAGGGAATATTGGCATTGATGAACACAGGACAGAAATGGGAGTTCTTCAAAAAAGACTGTATGTGAACACACTGCAAAATATATTCCCATGGACAATAAGTTTTTAAAAGGCTAAAAATGTGGCTTACGACCACAGTTAAAAAAGCTATAAATAATAAGAAAAGCGCTTTTATAAAATATAAAAATGAAGGAATGCGATCATCATTTAAAACATTACAAAGAATATAACAGAATACGTAAAAAGAAAATCAAGGCTGCAAAAATTGAAACCGAATGACAGATTGCAAAAGATAGCAGGAAAACCCCCAAAAATTATTAAAACATATTTAATAGTAAAAAGGTCAGGTCTGAACATGTAGGCCCTTTACAAAATAATCTAGAGTGACTGACTGAGGACAAAGAGCAGGCAAATTTATTAAATACCTTCTTCAGCTCTGTGTATACAAAGGAGCATGGGGGAGCTCTTGTCCATCAATGGTATTGACACAGCCCCAGATGATACACAGTGGCTCACAATTTATATGATCCAGAAAAATATTTAAACAGAATAAAGGTGAATAAAGCATCTGGACCGGATGGCATACATCTACGGGTCCTTAAAGAATTGAGCTCTGTCGTTTCAAAGCCATTGTTCTAATTTTTAGAGACTCTTTAATGACTGGCATAGTACCACTGGATTGGCGTAAGGCCAATGTGGTGCCTATATTTAAAAAGGGATCAAAATCTTTACCAAGTAATTATAGACCTGTTAGTTTAACTTCTATAGTTTGGAAGATACTAGTATTTAATAAAAGACCAAATGGATGAGTTCTTGCTTGAAAAAATATTTTAAGCAACAGACAGCATGGATTCATGAAAGACAGAAGTTGTCAAACAAATCTGATTTCCACTGCCATCCTCTCCTCCTCCATGGAGGTGAGCAAAACCTTGGACAGAGGGGTGGTGGTGGACGTGGTATACTTGCATTTTGCAAAAGCGTTTGACACCGTTTACCACACACGGCTAATGTGTAAGGTAAAGTCTATAGACTTGGAAAAATCAGTATGTAAATGGATAGAAAACTGGCTAAAAGACTGGATTCAGAGAGTAGTGGTTAATGACTCATACTCTGAATGGTCTAGGGTTGTTAGTGGTGAACCCCAAGGTTCAGTGTTGGGACCCTTACTTTTTAATATATTTATAAACGATATAGGGTCTGGGATTAAAAATACTGTTTCAGTCTTTGCAGATGCACCAAGCTATGCAGTGGAATAACGTCCTTACAGGATGTCTCCAATTTACAAGCCGACCTCAATGCACTGTTTAATTGGGCAACTATGTGGCAAATGAGTTTTTTTTTTTTTTTTTTTTCAACATGTTTCTATTAAAGATTTTCAGTTATTACAAAATAACAATAAACAACTACGACACAAGTAATCCTTGCCTTCTCATGCCTCTGAAAGGTACTGTAATGGTGGAGAAAGGAGGGCAATACACCAAAGCTCTATGATATACAAGAGTAGGAATATGTGACACTTACTGAGCAAAAGCATCTGTGCAATACAATAGCAGAAACAAAGAAAATTAAAGAGACCAAATCAAGGACTCAGAGGTAGGGACGTTAGAGTACTAAAGACCCATACATGCCATAATTTATCAAAAAGGTGGGGCTTCTTGCTCAATTCAAAGGTGAGTTTGTACAAAGGCAAACTATCATTCATCAATTTAAGTCAAGTGTTCAAGTAGGAGAGGTAGTTCCCTTGCAGGAGAGAAGAATAGTCTTCCTAGCAAATAAATACAATATACGTAACAAACGCTTGAACCGTGTAGGAGCTGACAAATAACCAAATATACCCAACAGGCAATTCTTAGAATGTAGTATATTAGGCAAACCCAGAACAATGGAAAAAAGGTATTAACTTCCATCCAAAATACATGGACTATAGGACAGGACCAAAAACAATGTATGAAATATGCCATTTCCCCACAGCCCCTAAAACAGTCTAAGTTAAACCACCGTTTTTTGTGCAGCAGCGAATATAGGATTAGAATCAGCCGTTAGGGTAGAAATAATATTCAGAGATCAATATAGTAGATTCTGGCCTCCTCAGTAATTTCTCCAGTGGTGCTATAGCCAATGGGGGGAAATTAGGGCCAAATTGCACCATAAAAGCGTGGCCAATTTGCATATAAAAGAATACAAAACAAGAGGGGAGGGAAAACTCATCTCTCAACTGGACAAAGGGCTTAAGGCCCTGTGCAGTATACAAATGACTAAGATATTAGATGCTCCTGGAGATCCACGGTTGAGGATCTGCAATCAAAAGAAGTTCCTGTAAAGTAGAATCATACCAAAGATGATTATTGGGTGAGGTGGTCCAGCTAGATTTAGAAAAATGGGTCAATATAGTAATAAAGAGAGCAAGTGTCCCAGTAATAAAGATAGTCGTCCCAGGGCAGGGAGGTACCTGTCTCCTATATATAATGTTATGTAAGTTTTCGAAGGAGGAGACTATAGCAGCTTCTGTAGGAGTACAGGTATTAACTGAGGAGGGATGTAACCAGTCACAAATAACTACTAATTGGGAAGCTAGATAATATAGATAGAAATTAGGAAATGCGAAGCCTGACATATGAGTAGGTAATTTCAAAACACCTAAGGCCAGTCTGGGGGCCTGTTGGTTACATAGAAAACCTGTACAGACTCGGGATATATTACAGGGAGAGTTGGCCATCACATTTCGGAAGAAAAATAATTTTTAATTAACTCTACCCATAGGATCTAATGGTAAATCCATCCATTGCCTAGTTCACTGCTGCAGCTAAGTAATAATGGGACTTAAGTTATTCACTATATAAGAGTTCAGAGGTAATTGCACCACCACCCCCAGGTAACGAAAGGAGTGTACCACTTAGAGTTGAGAGCTCAGATGAATCACCCTCTCTGCTGCAGAGTCTAAAGGAAAAAGACTGTATATGGTCCAGTCGACCCAGATTCCAGAGTACAAACCAAAATCCACCTTCTCACTTAACAGAGAGCCTAGGGATGTAGAAGGATCAGCTAAATATTTGAGAGTATCATCAGCATATAAGGAAATGCGTTCTTCTATGGTACCAATTATAAGTAATTATGGAAGGCGAATGCTGTATATGAATGGCTAAAGGCTCTATGGCCAGGGCATATAACAATGGGGATAAGGGGCAGTCTTGGCGTGTCCCCCTGGAGATTGGAAAGGCAAGTTATTAGCTCGGACTGTGGCAAAAGCGAGCAAAATCCTTTTGTATTAAAAGTGGTATAGACTCCAGAGAGAGAGATATCATATTACCCCTTTACAAATCATTAGTAAGACCTCATCTGGAATATGCAGTTCAGTTTTGGACACCAATTCACAAAAAGAACATTGGGGAACTTGAGAAAGTACAGAGAAGGGCAATCAAACTGATACAAGGCATGGAGAAGATCAGCTATGAGGAAAGATTAGAGGAACTGAATTTATTCTCTCTTGAGAATAGGAGATTAAGGGGAGATATGATCAACATGTATAAATACATCAGTGGTTCATATAGTGAACTCGGTGTAGAGCTATTCACCCTGAGGTCATCACAGAGGACAAGGGGGCACTCTTTACAGTTGCAAGAAAAAGTATGTGAACCCCTTGGGATTATGTGGAGTTTTGTATGAATTGGGCATAAAATGTGCTCTGAACGTCATCTAAGTCACAACAATAGAAGAACACCGTCTGCTGAACATAATACTACACAAACATTAGATGTTGCCATGGTTTAATTTCACATAACATGTAAACATTCACAGTGCAGGGAGGAAAAAGTATGTGAACCTTTGTACTTAATAACTGGTTGACCCTCCTTTGGCAGCAATAACCTCAGAAAATGTTTCCTGTAGTTGCAGATCAGACCTGCACAACGATCTGGAGTAATTTTGGACCACTCCTCTTCAAAAAACTGTTTCAGTGTAGCAATATTCTTGGGATGTCTGGTGTGAATCGCTCTCTTAAGGTCATGCCACAGCATTTCAATCGGGTTTGAGGTCAGGACTCTGACTGGGCCACTCCAGAAGGCATATTCTGTGCTGTTGCAGCCATTGTTTTGT